GGGTTTTCACAAGTTAAAACGGGTTAGGGTAATTCTCGGGTTCGAGTCGAGTTCGGTTCAAGTCAATAATTTGCGGGTTAGAATCAGGTCGGATCATTCTCGGGTTTGAGTCGGGTTCGATTCAAGTCAATAATTTGCGGATTACAATCAAGTCGGGTCATTCTCGAGTTCAAGTCGGGTTTGGTTCAAGTCAATATTCTGTAGGTTATAATCAGGTTGGGTCATTTTCAAGTTAGATCATTCTCGAATCAAGTCTTTATGTTCAAGTCAATAATTTGCAGGTTACAATCAGGTCGGGTCATTTCCAAGTCAGGTCATATTTGGGTTTAATTAACTATAAATTGATAATTATCATTTTTATCAAGCTAATTATTTCCTTTGACTATAATATATATGTCAATATAATAGGGAACTATAGTCTATAATTTAGAGAGATAATTATCTCCTTTGACCATACAACAAATATATACTATATTTAACTCTTAAATTTGAGGATGATGCTCCTTTCTTTTGCTGGCCTGGACCGACTTGGTGTCCCTAGAAAAAATGATTTGATCAACAATAATAAGGTTCTCTAAATTGTATTTAAGGTGATTTAAAATCGGGTCGGGAACAATTTGGGTTGAATTTAGGTCAGGTCAATAACAAGTCGTGTTAATTTCGAGTCGGGATAGTAACAGATTGGGTTGAATTTTTGGGTCGGGTAAGTAATAGGTCTCGTAAAATTCGGGTTAGGTCAATAACAAGTCAGGTTGGATTTGGTTCAGGTTAATAACAAGTCAGGTTGATTTCGGGTCGGGTTTGTAACAAGTTTGGTTAAATTCGGGTCGGGTTAGGAACGGGTCGGAATGAATTCAGGTCAGGTTAGTAACAAGTCGGGTTAAATTCGGGTATTAACGGGTTAAAATGAGTCAGGGTCAATTTCAGTTCAAGTCGGGTTCAGTGCAAGTTAATTAAATTGGCCGTTGTAAACCGGTAAGATGGTACAAGTTGTAAACCGGTAAATTGGTCGTTTAACAGAAAATAGGATGGTTCCACACACCCCATTGGACTCCCGTAGGATATTAAGGACCATAATAAACATTTCGGCAATTTTTATTTCCAGGCAAAAAAAAGTCAAAAAATTCCAAAATTGAAGGCTTAATATCCACGTTTTTTGAGAAATTTTGGAGGTTTCAGGGCCCGGTGTAAAAAATTCTTGAAATTCTATGGGAGACATCTCGGGGTCATATAATGCCGTTTGGAACCATATATAACAATTATTTTTTGTTATAAATGCTCGTGGTAGGCTTGAATTAATGAAATCGGTGCAAGTTGTAAACCGGTTAATTGGTCGTTTAACAGAAAATTGGATGGTTCCAAACACCCAATTGGACTCTCGAAATGTATAAAGGACCATGATAAAAATTTCGGCAATTTTTATATCCGGGTGAAAAAAAGTCAAAATAGTCCAAAATTGAAGGCTAATATCCACGGTTTTTAATTTTTTTTTTTGAGATTTCGAGGCCCAGTGTAGAAAAGTCTTGATATTTTAGGGGATACAACTCGGGGTCATATAATGCCGTTTGGAACCATATATGATCATTATATATAAAGTTCGTAGTATGCTTGAGTTAAGGAAATTCGTGCAAGTTGTAAACGAGTAAATTGGCCGTTTAAAGTCAAATTGGATGGTTCCACTAACCCAATTGGACTCCCGGAGGATATTAGGGACCATGTTAAACATTTCGGCAATTTTTATTTTCGGGCGAAAAAAAGTCAAAAAATTCCAAAAAATTCGGGGCCCGCTGTCGAAAAGTCTTGAAATTCGAGGGGATACATCTCGGGGTCATATAATGTTGTTTGGAACCATATATGATTATTATTTGTTGTCATAAATGTTCATGGTAGGCTTGAGTTAATGAAATCGGTGCAATTTGTAAATCAGTAAATTGGTCATTTAAAGGCAAATTAGATGGTTCCACCCACCCAATGGGACTCTCGGAAGGTATTAGGGATCATGTTAAACATTTTGGAAATTTTTATTTTCAGGCGAAAAAAGTCAAAAATTACAAAATTGAAGGCTAATATACACGTACGCTTTTTGAGAAATTTTGGAGGATTCGGGGGCCGGTATCGAAAAGTCTTGAAATTCTAGGGGATACATTTCGGGGTCATATAATGCCGTTTGGAGCCATTTATGATCATTATATATTGTCATAAATTTTCGTGGTAGGCTTGATTTAATGAAATCGGTACATGTTGTAAACCGGTAAATTGGCCGTTTAAAGGCAAATTGGATAGCTCAACCCACCCAATTGGACTCCCGGAGGATATTAGGGACCATAGTAAAAATTACGGCACTTTTTATTTTCGGGCGAAAAAAAGTCAAAAAATTCCAAAATTAAAGGCTTATATACACGCTTTTTGAGAAATTTTGGAGGTTTTAGGGCAAGGTGTCGAAAACCTTGAAATTTTAAGGAATACATCTCGGGGTCATATAATGACGTTAGGAACCATATATGATCATATAAACCGGTAAATAGGTCGTTTAAAGGCAAATTGGATGGTTCCACCCACCCAATTGGACTCCCAAAGGGCATTAGGGACCATGGTAAATATTTCGGAAATTATTATATCCGGGCGAAAAAAGTCTTAAAATTCCAAAAATAAAGGCTAATATCCACGCTTTTTGAGAAATTTTGTAGGTTTCGGGGCCCGATATCGAAAAGCCTTGAGATTATAGGGAATACATCTCAGGGTCATATAATGTCGTTTGGAACCATATATGATTATTATTTGTTGTCATAAATGTTCGTGGTAGGCTTGAGTTGATGAAATCGGTGCAAGTTGCAAACCGGTAAATTGGTTGATTAAAGGCAAATTGGATGGTTCTACCACCCAATTGGACTCCCGGAGGATATTAAGAACCATGGTAAACATTTCGGCAATATCCGGACGAAAAAAAAGTCTAAAAATTCCGAAATTGGAGGCTAATATCCACGCTTTATGAGAAATTTTGAATGTTTAGGGGCCCGGTGTTGAAAAGCATTGAGATTTTAGGGGGTACATCTCAGGGTCATATAATATCGTTTGGAACCATATATGATCATTATATGTTGTCATAAATGTTCGTGGTAGGCTTGAGTTAATGAAATCGGTGCAAGTTATAAACCGGTAAATTGGTCGTTTAAAGGCAAATTGGGTGGTTCCATCCAGCCAATTGGACTCCCGGAGGATATTAGGGACCATGGTAAACATTTCGGTAATTTTTTTTCCAGGTGAAAAAAAGTCAATAAATTCCAAAATTGAAGACTAATATCCACGCTTTTTGAGAAATTTTGGAAGTTTCGGGTAGAGTTGTCAATTCGGGTAAACGGGTCGGGTTTGGGTTGGTAAGAGTGGGTCGGGTCAACTCGGGTCGGGTCAACTCGGGTCGAGTCAATTCGGAGTAATTCCATAACCTATGCGGGTCGGGTTTGGGTTGGGTCATACTTTAGTAGGGTCACGTCGGGTCATATTTCTTATCGGGTTAATAACAGGTCAGGTTACATTTGGGTCGGGTGAACAATAGGTCGGGTTTAATTTGGGTTTTCACGGGTTAAAACAGGTTAGGGTAATTCTCGGGTTCTTGTCAAGTCAATAATTTGCGGGTTATAATCAGGTTAGGTCATTCTCGGGTTTGAGTCGGATACTCGGATTCGGCTCAAGTCAATAATTTGCGGGTTATAATCTGGTCGGGTCATTTTTCAAGTCGGGTCATTCTAGGGTTCAAGTCAATAATTCGCTGGTTATAATCAGGTTGAGTCATTTTCAAGTCGGGTCATTCTCGGCTTCAAGTCAGGTTATGTTCAAGTCAATAATTTGCAGGTTACAATCAGGTCGGGTCATTTCCAAGTCAGGTCATATTCGGGTTCAATTAAGTATAAATAGATAATTGTGATTTTTATCAAGCTAATTATTTCCTTTGACTATAATATATATATGGCAATATACTAGGGAATTATAGTCAATAATTTAGGAAGATAATTATCTCCTTTGACCATACAACAAATATATACTATATTTAACTCTTAAATTTGAGGATGATACTCCTTTCTTTTGCTGGCCTGGACCGACTTGGTCTCCCTAGACAAAATAATTTAATCAACAATAATAAGGTGGTCTAAATTGCATTTAAGGTGATTGGGTCAGGAACAATTTGGGTTGAATTTAGGTCGGGTCAATAACAAGTCGTGTTGATTTCGAGTCGGGTTAATAACAGATCGGGTTGAATTTTCAAGTCAGGTTAGTAATAGGTCTGGTAAAATTCGGGTCGGGTCAATAACAAGTCGGTTTGAATTTGGGTCAGGTTAATATCAAGTCTGGTTGATTTCGGGTCGGGTTTGTAACAGGTTGGCCGGGTTAAATTCGGGTCGGGTTAAATTCAGGTCATGTTAGTAACAAGTCGGGTTAATTTGGGGTTTTGACGTATTTAAACGGGTTTGGGTTAATTTCGGTTCAAGTTGTGTTCGGATCAGGTCAATAATTTACGGGTTACATTCGGGTCGGGTCATCTCCAGGTCAGTTCATGTTCGGGTTCGGGTATCACATACTCGGGTCAACTCAGGTCTATGGTTGGTTTCAGGTTGGGTTTGGGTCACATTTTTTCGGGTTCATATGGGTCGGTTAATAATCGGATTTGAGTCAGTATTTCGGGCCGAGTCAACTTTTGACAGCTCTAAGATTAATAATAAATATATAAAATTCTCCAAAACAACAGAAGTACTACAATCAATATTTCAATTAATTTTACGCGGTTAACCAAAGCAAGATATAATCTCTATTACAAAGGTGGCATGACAATGCCTGGATTATGACTTAACAATAACAAATTACTGTAAAATTGGACTAAAAATGAGCCTAAAAAAGCAACTAAATATTACAATGACACAAACTAAACCACATACCAAATGATAATTTATTGGCTTTTATAATTAAGTCCCTTTTGCTAATCAATATCAATTCTCACGGCCAATTAATCAGCCATCTTGATTGTCTTGCAACAAGTATGGATCAAAAGGCGAAAAAAGACTCTCGCAATAGCCCAATGCAACCCCTGAAAAATAGCGACACAAGTTTCCTCGTTCTACTGATTCCCAAACAATAGTACCTTCATCGGGTTGTTCTTGTTCTTGTTCTTGTGATGATACTTGGCTAAGCTCGTGTAGCATAAGCCGAAGAAATTGAGAGGATAGAGATAAAGATAAAGATAACGATATGTTACTTACCAAACACATTCCTGTCTCAAATAAATACACAAAATCCGCTCCAATATATGTGAGAGATAATACTCTCTCCCATGAAGCGATTTCAACCGTATGACCATCATCAGCATCAGTTAACTTCATCAAAAACACATTACAAACAGTCTTATTACCACCATTTCCAATCAAACACAATGCCAATCTCCCATTCATCTTAAATAATTTCGCGGTTTCCCAATGTTCTCTATGTACAATTGGGACAAACATCATATCCCCTGCTATCACATCCATCCCAAAGATTTCCTCTTCATCTCCTTCATTGGACAAACGTTTCGGAGCCCAATAAATAGTATCGTCAACAAAGACTTTACTACTATCAACAAACACCGAGGGATCTCCATAAATTTCCAACGTTTCATAATAGTCATCTAATAAAGCCCATTCGGTCCATAACCCGGTCTTAAAAGAAAACATAAGAGCATGTACCGAAATATTCATATATAACATGAAACACCCTATCTTATAATCATGAATTAACGGTACATAATCAAACCCGACACACTTCATTTGATAATCATCTACCTTATCAAGAGCAACAGGACCATTAGTATCGCGACATTGGTTTGTCACGGGGTTCCAAACATATATGCGCATAGTTTGTTCATTAAACATTAACAATAGGCCATCACAATAATCAACGACACAAGTATTTAGAGGATTAAAACTACGCGGAAGACATTTCTCCTTCAATCCAACAAACTCAGTTAAATTGTAGTTTTCATCAAAGGATAAATAATACTTATCTTCTTCAGTATTACGCTGCGGCTCCTGAACAATGAGGGTTTGATCGTTCAAAGACGACTGGAATTCAAATTGTTGTTTTGCAAATTTACGACTTGATATCATGGAAAACCATCCTTTGGAAACGCATTTGAAGCGAATTACAGGTTTTACCTTCAGTCTTATGAGGATGTTTTCCTGGATGAGATGATCCGGAAGAGTTGCGTATGTCGGTTCATGTTTCGATTTCTGCGCTGATGTGTTGTTCATCATCTTGCAAGATCGGATCAAAAACTGGACTAATAAAATGAAAATACACAAAAAAAAAAATCAAGGATTAATTAAGTTTAAATTATAAATTGGGGATTTTGAATTGATTAAATTTTAGATGAAATTAGTGAATAATTTGCGAGTAGATTAGTACCTGAAGAGTAGTGGCGCAGATTAAGTGGGTTGATCGGATGATAAATGAGAATGCTGAATTTCAGGTTTCAATGAAAGGGTTAGGGTGGCGGCTTGTAGTGAAAGTGACCGTGAAAGAGGAAAGAGAAAGACTATTTATATTTTTAGTCAATGGTCAAGTCAACCTTATTTTTGTTGTTGACTTGTTATATATTTTGGGATTAGGGTAGAATTAGGTCAAGTTAAGAGCCTCATTGCTGATGAGAGTAATAAAATGGATATTGGCCATATTGCGCACAACAATGTTTGAATAATGAGGAGATATAATTATGAAATCCTAAAAATAGTGTAGTGCACCCGGGTGCACCAATCACGCATTAATGAAATATAAGATTGTATCTTCTAAGATAATATTAGAACGGTATATTGTGAACAAAAATGGTATTGCTCTCAACAATGTCTGAAAGTAAATAATTTGTAAAATGATGCATTAAATCCGTGGTTGCATTTAATTTGTATACATGTACTGCTTGGGAATGATTCACAAAATTTACAACTTATTTTTCTCTTAAAGAAAATATTGAAACTACGTATCACTATTAAATACGGTATTAAAATTTCATATCTAAACTAAGGTGCAGAGTAGTACTTATTAAATGTGCAATCTAGAAAATGATGAGTTGCGATAAAATTTAAACACATACTAATAATTTAGAGGGTACGAGGAAGGGAATTTCAATGACATTAATAACAAATACTAGTTATTCAAAGTGATTTCGCAGGTATAAATTAAATGAACTGCCTCAGTTATTTATGATTTTTTTGTGTTGATTATGTGCTACAACACAACTAAAAAAACATGAGTTTATCTATTTTGAGAAAGACTAATCTATCTTTTGGTTACATTATTTTTTGTTAATAACAAGAACTACAAAAAGTCATTAACAAGAACGACAATTTAGTAAAAAAAAATGATCTTAAGTGACAATTTAACACTAAAATTAATTGAAGAGACATTTGCACCAACAAATCTATAGTATAATTTTCCAAGGAAAAAAAAAGCCCTCCTTAAAATGCCTTATTTATTTTACTTATTTTTTCCCTTTTAAATTTTTAAATAAATATTATATCTCTTATTATTTCTCCAATTCCATAATTACCCAATTTTTTTTCCAACCCCACTTTTCATTTTTTTAATAAGGGGTTGGAAAAATTAAGTGGAAATATATAAACCCTTTTTTCCTCCAAATTTTTAATCCTTAAAAAGGGGTCGGCACTTTAAGTGAAAAATTAATAAGTGAATTTAATATAAAATACAACAACGAAAATAAAGTTAAAATCAGCATTTCTGATAATACAATATTGTACCTGATTTATATGTTATATTTGATCATATTTTTTTTTTCCATTCTCTTACTCTTTTAGAGCTATTGTTTTTTATATTTCAATATTGCTCTCCTTGGTATGTTTTATTATGTTTTTGTAGGAAATGGCTCAGTTTGCTAGTTGTTAGCTTTGATGGTGGTTTGATTTGCTAGAGAAAGTGTTTAGTGTGCAATGGGAGGCGTGGCATCCTACTCCACAACCTGCTTGTGGCAATTTTTTCGCAGCCACAACTAACCTGCTGGTGGTCGTTCTTTTAACAATGTGTTTAGAGTCCTAATAAGATAGAATTTTCTAGTTTTTTATAAGGATATAAATAGGTTAATAAGAAGATAAATCAATAAGATTTTTCATATTTTTATGATTTTGAGTTTTGCGTCATTTTAGTTTTACGTGTGTTATTTTGCTCTCTTTTATTATTTAAGTTTTGTTCATTGAACATTTACTTTCAAGCTTCTAGTAATTCAATTCAAGAATTTATTTCCTCTCCTTTATTCTCCCATTATTATTGTTATTATGTTTTCTCTTATTGTTCATTTTATTTATTTAATTATCGTGTTTGAGTAGTTTCATAATCTAGGGTTGGGTTAAACCTTAATATGGATTGATGTGTTTCTCAATTCCCATTTTTATTAATTTATAATTCTTCTTCATTAGGGATGATTTTATTATCAATAAGCGACTAGGAATAGTGTAATTGAATGTGATTAGGTTTGCAACGAGAGTTGATTCGTCTTAATTGATTTAAGAACCCTAATTAAAAGTAAGAGCCTTTATGCATTAGGATAGCTAATTTTTCTTGCTAGGACTTATAATAGGGTGTCGTTCTCAATGTCTTTAATATGTATGATCCATGACAACAGGTACGATTGCTTATTAGGGAAGCCACTTGTTAATCGAAAGAAACACTTGGTATTGTTATAGGGAGAACCCGTCTTGTAGAATGGTGCATCGATTTGTATTAGTGGGTATACATATTCCTAGATGTCTTTAGCTCTTGGGTTATTCTTGATTATTTTCTTGCTAGAATTCAGTTTAGTATTATTTCATATATTTGTTTGGTTACTTGCTTAGCTTTAATTCAAGTCAATTTGATTAGTTTGAAATTTTGAATCAGTTAGTCTCTTGAATTCGACCCTTACTTGCTCAACTACATAGTAGAGATAGTTCGGTTATTTTAATAGGTACGCGACACGCCTATCAATTTGCAAGTAGCTATTATAAAAAATAGATATATTTAGCCAAATGTTGCATGGGATTATTTTTATTAAGGGAAGTGCGGAATGAGAATAATTTTTTCTTAATAAACTATCCGAAATTATTTTACCAAGTTGTCATTAGGGGTCATTTTTTTACCAATAATCCGACCAATTGACCAAATCTAGAGTGTATCTATTAATGTGTTTTTAGGTTATCTAGCCTTAATTGAAATCATTTGAACTTGCTGAAATTATAAATAGACACGAGAGAGGGGAAATAATAACATAACTAACTTGTAATCAATACATATGTATATAGCAAAACTTAACTAAAAGTAACATGAGCTTATCATCATAATCTATCATGCCTTACATTAACCTACTAAACCCAACCACTAATATTATGACTCCACTAACACAAACTAATTACTAAGGAGTTAACTAATCACCAACAATTTGAAGCAAGTATTCCAACGGAACTAACATGAAATCATTAAGTTTTGAACTAGCCTAATTAAAAACATGTACATTGAGCTAATGGGAAATTTTTAAGGACTCGTGGAATTAAGGATGGAGTTAAATATCTCTCTTCTTTAAGTAGGGATAAAGAAGGCTTAAAATCTCTTCAGCACCAATTTTTACAATAGCTGGGCCGCTTGCAAATTTAGCCCTAGTAAATAAAGGTGTACTTAAGGCTAAGCTATTTAAAATCAGCATCATTAAGTTATTTAAATGTCCGTTAACTAAATCCATCCCTTGCATCCAAAATAAAGTTAAAATAAATTCATCCTAGTAAATAAAGGTGTACTTAAGGCTAAGCTTAATATAAGGAACATAAATGTAGTAGACCAGGGCCCATTTCTTTTAGAACCCAATTTAAAAATTAAAACAGGGCCTCCAAAATGTTTAAGACAGCCCTACTAGTTGTATATGCAAAAGAAAATACTATGAAGTATATGGTCATACTTTTTTTTTTAAATCAGTATTGGTCATACTTTATTACATTAAAACAGGCCCGACTTGTTTGGCATCAATTTTGGTTTTCAGTTTCTGTTTTTTTTAAAACCAAAAACAGGTAACAAGAAAAAGGAGTTTCCACTTTTTTGTTAGTTTTCATAATTATCATAATTTTAATAAGTTTATATGATTTTTGATTCATTATGGGACTTATATCATATACTTTTAGAGAACAAAAAATCAAAAAACAGAAAACCACAACAATGCCAAACGTATGTATTTGGTTTTATGAAAGAAAAATTCAGATAGGTATCAAAATCTGCTTAAAACAAGATAATCAAAGTATTACAGCCAATTTCTCAATAAGTTTCACACACCTAAATAGAGAAGTTATTCAAATTACATAAAAGTAAATGTAGAACTCTGTTTATGGAGCATAAATTGTTTAGAGAACTCCCAAAGCTAATGATAAGTCTATAAAACTAGCATATAATTAGCATACAACAATTGAGGACTTAACCATCTGCAGAATATTACAATGATACATATAATTGTATGCTTGATACCTCGGCTCTTAAGCATTTTCTTCAACTCTTTCTCCAGTCTCACGGTCATCTTCATTCACCACACGCGCAGATATCCCAGAAGGCGAAATGAGACTCTCAGTATAGTCCCACACGTCTGCTATAGCTCTGTGATAGACATGTCCTCTTCTATGACGTTGCCAAATTACAGTAACCTCTACATATTCTGCCTGACTAAGATTAAGTAGCATAAGCTGGTTTAAGTGTCGACTTACCAAACATTTTCCAGACTCAAATATGTAAAGCAAAATTACGCCTTTGATATTGATTGAGAACGATTTCTCCCAAGATTGCTTGTCACCATTATTCTTTAAAGTCCAAACATCAGAAACATGCTTAGTACGTCGTCTTCTACCAATTACAACAGAATTGCAACACAATGACAAACACCCTTTCCTCTCGAATACCTTAGCATCGAAATACCCAGTAAGCAAATTTCCCAATGGGACTTTTGTCAATAGTCCATTAACTAAGTTCAACCCAACGATATGACTTTCCTGATCCTCAGATTCTCTTCTGACTATCGGGGACCAATAAATAGTATCATCAACTAACACTGAGTAATAACGTCGATCTATAGAAATGAACCCTTTCTCTTCTATGCAAGACGTTTCTTTCCATTCCCCGGTTTTCAGTGAATAAACACTAACACGACACACACCCTCCTCAGAATGTACTAAACACCCTATCTTATAGTCATCGATACTAGGTATGTAACCAAACCCGACACCGGCAACATCATCATTTA